ACCCTATGAAGGTTTTATTTGCTGCATGTGTGTGCGCGCACTCCTCCATGTGAGTTCAAAGTCACCCACATGCTATGATCATACACTGTGTGATGTGTATGTGTTTTCTAGGCTCCCACTCAGAGAGGTGGGGTGTGAAATCAGGTCTCCCTGCTCCTCAGCCTCCCAGTCTTGTTTCCACAGATTCCTCCCTTCGTCTGTTTGTCACCATCTGTCTCTGCAGTGCAGCCTCCTCCTCTCTAGTTCTCTCCCAGTGACCTTGCTATCGCCCATTTCACACCACTTTCTCTACCCCAATCTCCCTCCTTGTGCTCGTCTCTCACTCCTCCTGTCTCTCTCATCACTTCTCTCCATCTCCCTCTCTCTCTCTCTCTCCCTGCCTCTCATCTTCCCCTTCTCAGGGGCAGTTTTGTGTAATTAAGTCCATGGTAGTGCTGTTGGTACACCAGCTCTGCCATCCTGACGGCCAAATTAAAAATTGATTTCTTCGATGGATTCTATGCACTGGATGAATGCTCTTGCCCTCCTCCTTGCCCTTACTCTCTCCCACTCTCTTTCCCTTCCTGCCCTCCCAACTTCATATTGATGCTCTCTCTGCGTCCCCAGCTTCCTCCAAGTGTCACCTTTGTTCCACTGTAAAATCTACTGGAGTCACCCATCACCCCAACTCACGCCCTGCCTACCATAAGTCAACATTCACTTAGACTTTATAGCTGAAAGTGTGCTGCTGCAAAGCTCGCCCTTAGCCTTTTTCGTCTTTGTTTCTTCATCACTAAGGTAAGCGCAGTCAGTGTAAGGTAGTGCAGACATTACATCACAAACAGTCAGTAAATGCCACTAAAGTTGATAAATGCACAAGATGTTTGTTAAATTACCTTCCAGAATGGATTGGTGGATTGTCTGTCAACCAGTTGCAACACTTGTGCAAAAGCAGACTCAAACTGTGTGGTGTATAGGCTCATTAAACATTCACAACCGCAAGCATATGAGGAGAAAAAAAAAAAAAAAAGTAATTATTTTTGTGCTCGAGACCTGCTGGGTTTTGGATTTACAGAGCTTCTCAATGACAAAACAAATCAATGGAGTCACCCCTGTGGGAGGCTTTGGCCCTGCGTTAGGTATGCCATTAGAACCGTAAGAAAGAACAAGTCAGAGTCCATGTCAGAGCCGCACACATTCTGATTTCAGAAAGATCAGTGGAGTTAAGTCAGCACAAAAACACCCTGTGGCACTGCTACGCAAGTCAATGAATTCTGAAGTCAGATGTGATCACATCAAAAGAAGGGACAGAAAGTGTTTCTAGGCCTGATAAACTCTATTCAGAACTTCTGAGGCTTTTTAAACCTTCAACATGTGGTTATTTTATTATTGGACAGAGCCAGTGAACTACTCTGACTTGGCTTGTGGGACTTTACCCCCTAATGTTTAAGAGGACAGAGTAGATATTACAAAATGTCTGTAAAACCAGAGTTTCAAGAAAGGCGTATGGCATAGATGCTAAGTCAGCACAAGTATTTATGCAGAACCTGGCCCTGACTGAGTGCACATTGTCTAGGGCCTTTGTTTTACAAAGGCGCCCATTATTTGATATCTCTGAGTGGGCCGTATATCCTTTACACACTTTCATGCTCCCATGCATCTCTATGTTCCTCCTTTACCTTCCCATTTGTCATTCACCACCTTCCTCACTGTTTAACTCTTTCTCCTGTAATCTCCAGCCTTTCTTCTTTTCCATTTTATATTTTTGTGTTGCCCCTAGCTACAGTTCCTTTATACAGTCGTGTTCTTTTGCTAGGGACACACTGGTAGACTTAGGTGAGTGTGATAACTATTCATACGTTTGTGCAAAATTTTCATATCTGAAACAAACGAGAAAAGCTTGCAATTGGTCGACTGGCTACAAAAAGCAGTCTGAGAAGATGCTGTCACGTAGCCCCATTTTGATACACCAAATCAAACTCATGGGTTGGTCCATCGATCAATGAATCCTAAATTAAGCAGGGAAAAAAAAAAAAAAAGAAAACACAGTCCATTTATAATGTTTTGTTTGTCAAAGTGTAAAACAAGATGTTCTCCCAGGTTTGTGGCTGTTTGTATACTTAAGGTTGAGATTCAAATTGAAATAGTGCAATGCAACACCTGAAACCTAACCTTACTTAACAGCAGCTTTTTAAAAATCTGAACTATTCAAAATATTGCAACTTATCTGCAGTTCATTCAATTTATTGTACTTGACAGTTATTGAGTCTGCTGATTCCTGCTCCCTCCTCCAAGTGGATAGAGCCGTTTGTTAGACTGTGGAGTATTTAACAATGCATATTTTTGCAAGCAAATATTATATACCTCATAGGCTAGAAAGTGAAAATGATGAATAGCCTCGAAGGAAATAATCTAATTTGTGTGTATATTTTACTTATTTACAGTCAAAGCTGACACAATAAATGCAATAAGTGGTCGTTAAACCTTGGAAATGGTCAAACCTGCAGCGGGACTCCAGCATGAAAACTGCAAAGTTAGCAAAAAAAAAACCAAAACAAAAAGCTGTTAATTTGTCTAGTTCACAGTACAGAGCATGGAAGCATGACAAAGCACTTGCTCCCTGCTCACTCCTCTCTGATGTTTCTGCTTTTTCAACACTGTCCTCATCATCACCTGCAGACTTGCTTAAATGCGCAAAGTTATTTACTTTGTTTGGCACCTTCCCTGCACCATCGACTGGAGGTTTTCTTTATTTATTCATGTTTTGACGAGTGCAGGATACATACAATCAGTACTAGACACTAATTACCTGAATGCTGGATACTTGCAACTGTGATGGCAACTGCTATCTGCTATTACATGTTTCCCCAACTGTGTTGCTGCAGCTAAGATGACTTGCTGAATATCTGCATATAGACACATAGCTTATTAATGCCAAAGTTTGGAAGAAGAAAAAAAAAAAATCCAACCGTACCAAAACTATCAACTAGGAAAATTCCAATGGTCAGGATTGGAACAAAATTAAAATAAAGCTCCTAAATTTACACCAGATGGGTGCAAAGACTAAGATTTCACGGATAGTGGCCCAGGAATACGAAACATGTTCGTCATGTATCGACTTTTCAATAACGCTTTGCTCTTAATCACAAAATATCAATAACCAGCCACAGCCAATGCTACACCGATGTAATTATGTCTTCCTGCCTTCATTGTTGTTCTGTTGGGTGACACACTGGATTGCACACAATCCCGCTGAAACTCTGAAAATGTTAACGTCAATGACATATTCAAAGCTTGGATGATAGTCTGTCATTCATTGGAACATAATTACACCTAAGAAATATCAGACTTTTAAAAGCTGTCTGTGGCACTAGTTGCGACTGCTGGTCTTCATCAGTGTCTTGTATTACAGACAGATACCAAGATTCAGAGTTAGGCCCCGTTTTCACTTCGCAAAAATGGTGATATTTCAATGTGTTTGGGCCTTTGGGCCTTTGGCCTTTGGCTTGGAAGTTACAAGTCACTGAAAACGATCATATCTGATACTCCAGCCACAGTGGAGATTTGGAAAAGCTCTGCCTTTATGTTTGCATGTAGATAGAAGGAGACGGAGTTTGACGTCACAGTATGCAACAAAAGCGCCATCAGCGTCATACATGTGTGACCCATGTTTACAGTTTGGCTACTGTGGTAGAAAGTCAATATGTTAAAATATTTTACTTGTTTTGTACTCTAACACCACATTTAGGAGTAGCTCCACTTCTCTGTCGGTCCAAACAAACGACCCTCGGTACATGACAAACATGTTTTACAGGAAGTAATGAGTGGCATTCATTGTTGTGTTTTTTTTCCAGGATTCTGATTGGCTAGCGTAGCTTATGCTTTTCGTTACACTAAGGCAAGCTCATAGCAGCTCTTAACAACGTGTCTATGCGGGTTTGTGTTAACAAAGATTTTTTTTTAAAACACTCTGGTCTAAACAATGCTATTTTTGAAAAAATGGATCCATTTTTGTAAATATCTGGCTATGTGTAAACGTGGCATAAGTCGAAAGAGAAGGTGGAGGACATTTTTACATTTTCCAAAAGCAGAAGGCTCACCTGCTTTTGACCCTCCCAATCTTGTTATATCTTTTATACTTTTTTTCTTTTTTTTTTCTCCTCTGGTTTTGATGCTGGAAAAAAAGTCAAGAGGTCACATTTGGCTTAATGTTCTACAAAACAAGAATACCACTGCAAATAGAGTAAAAATCTTGCCAATATGAGTGTTTTCACTGACCTTTAATCATGGGGGAAATGACCTAACTACTATTAGTGGGAACCATCCTCTGGGATGCAATAAATTTCATATCAATTTCACCATTGCTTGACAGAATAATTGGTCAGGACCAAATTGTTTATGTACTAATTGGCATCATCTTCTATTAGCCCTGCTGTCTGCATGACAAAATGGATGAAAATAATCATATTTGATTAAAAAAAATATAGAACAAAACATTTTCATTGGATTCGGCCAACAATGGATTGTCTGCATTCTAAATCAGTCATTGGAGCCACATTGCAGATACTAACTGGCCTGAAAGTCTTGTCATGTTTCCAGCTTTATTTCCTACCTCATCCTTCTCCAACGTGCTGTGTGATCCTTTGCAAAAAAGCATACCACCAAGCTGCTCTTTTTGTGGAGACAAAGCAGACGGAGCTGAATGAATAAAAAAAAATAAAATACCTGAAAATACATAAAATAAAAATAAATCGTTTCCTTCCTCCCACTGTCTTTTCTCTCTTGCACCTAGCAGCCTCTTTTTCTAGCACCTTAAGCCAGGCGAGTTCACGCCTTATTAGCTGCCAGTTTTAGCGTTATCATCGCTAATTACCAGGACTAATCTCCGCTAATGACGACATTATGAGGTGTACAGTACATGTGGCAGCGTGGCCAATGCAGAAGATAACCAAAGGGAGCTTAAGTTCAAGAATAACCCTGCATATCTGTGTTCTCGTTGAGGATTCTGTGCCTGTGCGTAGGTGTAGTGTTTGACAGCGAGGAAGAGCGAGAGGACAAAATAGAGAGAGTGTGCCTGCATGTGAGGAAAATAGGTAAGATGGAGGGCGTTTGAAAGAGATACTGTGAAAGACAATGAGGAATGACAGCAGCAGTCTGGACAAATTAGGTAGTCAAAAGCCAATATAGTGAACCACGTTGCACAAGACAAGCCTTTAAGTATGAGCCGACAGGCCAGCACAAACAAAAGCAAAGGGTGACTTAATACACAGACAGCATCTCGGCGATAATTATTCCTCTTTCCGCTTTGGGAAGCAGTAGTTTGCAGGCAGGATTTAAGGATTGCAGGATTTAACTGACCTGATTTTACCTTTGAAACAGAACCCTGACAGAGAAGGTTTTCATTTTTCTCAAATGCATTCTCTCTGCAATTTGAATTCCCTAATTTACCAAAGAGAGTGGAAACCAATGCTATAATAAGCAAGGAATAAATATCTAACAGCATTATATGATCTGAAATGTGTGTACAGTAACATAACATGGCTGAAGCGAGGAATACAACTGCTTCCTTTTATCAAAGCAAGCGTTACATTCTTAGCCCAATGAGCAGGTAAATTTTCTATGTTTTTACTCTGTGACAATTCAACTGAGCATTTCAGCCGCCTGGATCAAACCAGAGACTTTACAATAACAGAACCATCTCCTTAACACTGCAGCCTAGACAGCGGTAGAAAACAAGGATAGAAATGTAGAGAAGGGTTTTTTTTTTGTTTGTTTGTTTGTTTGATTTTTCTCCATTAACTGTCAGCGACTATGTGTAGGTGTGCGAGAGCGCCGCATGAAGACAAAAACGCAGAAAGACCTCAGCTGGTTCTATTACCTTGAGGATGGCCTCTCAAAAGCTGTGTACAGAGTGTTCAACAAATAAAAGGAAAACTAAAAACTATGAAAGACAAGAATAATTTACTTTGCCTTTAGCTCTTAATCCATTATGAATGCACACAGTCAGGCACAGACGCACATTTTGAGCTCAAACAATAGAACTGTATTTCATCAAAGGCTGGTGGAGACATTTGCATTAAGGCTGTAGGCAAATTTCACGTCTTTCTGTTTCTGGATTTTCCCTGGAGCCTTTTAATGTTTTCAATTTATTGTGCATTATTCTTTATTTACATTTCTGTAATACATTTTTTTGACAACAGCAAATAGGTTTTATGCTTTATGGATTTGACCAAGAGTTTTATACAGTTGTGATCAGACCATGATGCACTGAGTATGTTGTGCACACTCGCAGACATCAGTGAAATCAATAAATGCATGCCCTGGGCAACTCACCGGTCCCAAGTGATCGTTCTTGGCGTTTATGTTTTTTTTTTTTTAACACTGTATAAGAGTTCCTCACCCAATCATTTAACATCAGTAATCTGAGCAGTCATCTGACCTTAGCTTCTTCATAGGGGATCAGTGGTAGGAGATGTAAAAGCAGCTTCTGTACTGCTGAAGCTGGTTTCATACTGCTGTTGAAGAAAGTCATGCTTTATTTATGCTTTGATTCATCATTACCCTAATGTTGCCAAGACTTCCCAATAGCCACTATACCTTATACTTGAAACTAATTTGAGCTATTAGTATGCTTTTGCAGGCTACCGGTGTTGTGAGTGTTCTTATATGATGCAGCTGAATTTTGTTTTTAGGCCAGCGGAAAGTCCTTTTTAAAATAAGAACTGCCATATTTAAATGGACAGTTGCACACCGCTAACCTCATTTTGGATGCAATTCTAACCTTTTAACTGCTCGCTGTTCTCTCTGCTCTATAGGTGGTGTACAAGAACAATGATTTTAAGCTGGAGCTGTCGCGGCTGGCCATCGAGCGTGACCCCAAAATCACCCTGAATGGCGATCTGGTGTTCCGATGCGAGGACGTGGCAGCCCTGGACCCTGTGACCTTCGAGACCCCTGAGTCCTACATCTCCCTGCCCAAGTGGAACACCAAGAAGACAGGGTCTATCTCCTTTGACTTCCGCACTACAGAGCCCAGCGGCCTTCTGCTGTTCAGCCACGGCCGCCCTCAGGGTCCTAAAGAGCAGAAGCCCGGCAGGGAGCTGAAGACTGATTACTTTGCCATGGAGCTTCTGGATGGGTATTTGTACCTGCTGATCGATATGGGCTCCGGGAAAACAAAGCTCAAAGCCAGCAACAAGAAGGTCAATGATGGGGAATGGTGCCATGTGGATTTCCAGAGAGAAGGGAGGAAAGGTGAGGGGGAAACTGATCTACAATTTGACTCAATCTTTTTATTACAGTGTTTATTCACATGAATCATTCAAATTTCATACACATTTGCTCCTGTTAACATTTACAATTATAGCTTTGCAGTTGCTTGCAAAGACCAGTTACCTGTCGCTAGAACCACAATATTTTAAAAACTACAATTGTGCAGGTGCTTATTCTCAATCTTTTTATATTTTAATTGCGTTCCGTAGCATCTTTAGGCAGCACATTTAAACTGTTCACTGGATTGGGAAGACACAGTGTCACGGATTTATCAGTCACACAAAATGAGACTGAATTGACTTTGACAAATTTCTGAACCGTCTTTCTCGCCATGCTAATTAAAGCATGTTTTAAGTGGAGAAATAGTTACACATACTAATTATGATTCAACCAGAGGTGGCTGTTAATGTAAATGTATTTTTCATAGCCGTGTGACGTCTTCAAATGCATCTGCCTGCTTGTGGGCACAAACAGGAGCATCTGCATGCCTGAGTGTGTGGTGTCTGATGAATGATCTTAGGTGGGCAAGCACCTTGGACATTTTATCTCCCTCTAATGGTGTCTTATAATGAGGAAGGGTGGGAGTGAGTGTCGGTGTGTGTGTGTGTGTGTGTGTGTGTGTGCATGCATGTGATCTCACTGCCGCTCCTGCTGTAATTGGCTTTTAATAGAAAATTAAGATGGAGTCGTTAATCACAGAAAGAGAGAGGGCCCCTTTGTTTCACCCACTCCCTGCTGCATTCTGCTTCCCTTCTCCTCCATTTAGCCTATTATAGACACATTAGACACACACAAACACATGCGCACAGACACTCAACTGTCACCCACCCCCCTCTCCTTCCTCATATGTCCTTCTGTCTCTGCTCCGTGTCCCTAAATTAGCCACCTACTGGCCCTCCCACTCACCCGTTCATTCTCCCACTTACTCATTCAACCACTTGACCTCCCACCCACTCGCCCACCTAACCAGACCACACACATCTTTAGATGTCTCATTTGTGTTGTCCTTTAGAGCCATTAACGCACAATTTCAATCACTTGCTAAATACAAGAAGCCCCCATATGGATTTGTTTAACTACGTTTCGACCTGTTTATCAGTTTGCCATCATATCAATGATAATTGTTTGTTTTTATTTTTTTTCATAGTTAATATTGTCATTTGTTCTTGTCTTTTAGGATCCATCTCAGTCAACAGCCGCAGCATGCCCTTCAGTTCCCCAGAGGGAAGTGAAATCCTGGACCTGGACAGTGATATGTACCTGGGCGGGCTGCCTGAGTCCAAGTCAGACCTCATCCTGCCGCCAGAAGTTTGGACAGCACTCCTTAACTATGGCTACGTAGGATGCGTCCGCGACCTCTTTATCGACGGCAAGAGCCGCGATGTTCGTCGCCTGGCTGAGATCCAGAGTGCTCTTGGTGTCAGCAGTTTCTGCACTCGTGAGCTCCAGAAGCGGTGCAGCAGCGCCCCCTGTGGCAACGGGGGTCTGTGCAAAGAGGGCTGGAACCGCTACATTTGTGATTGCATTGGCACCGGATACCTTGGTACCAATTGCGAGATAGGTAAGGAGGACGCTTAAGGGCTAGGGCGTCTAGATGGGTGAGATGGTCAAGATTTGAACTCCCTTTTCAACTTTATGTTCTGAACAACTCTGCGTATAACTAGCTTGTCACAGCTGTGTTAAACACTGTTCACAAAAGAAAAAAAAAGTTATTGTATTGTCCCAAACAACACTTCAAATTGATACAATACTTTCCTTACAGTGAGGCAAAAAAAACAAGAGGCATCATAAAATACAGTTTATATGAAATGTGTAATGGGAATTACAGACAGTCCCAACATGAAACAGTGAAAAGTTGCCCTATTACTAACATTGTAAAGTAGAATAAGAAAACAAAGGTAGAAAGAGCATGTTGGCACATTTGACAGCATTCTTCCCGTATATGACACAATGAAACAGCTGTTGGTATAGTAGGAGAAAGAGCTCCACAGTGAGCTGTGCGTACGCGAAATGCCACTCGAGGCTCAGTTGCATTCAGCCCCACTGCTGGGACTCGGGAATTGAGGCTGAAGTGCTGTGAGGTTGGCAGCAATGTGGCAGAGCAGCCAGGCCTATTGCCGCCATCTGTGGTAGTCACGCAAATCCGGGTGGCGCAAACGCCACAGTGAAGTGGGGTGAGCTAGTCAAATAGCACCACGTCTGTCTGATTCATCCCAATTAGCCACAAGCACCTCGGTCCATGGTTTGTCTTTGCACGTCTGTGGGGGGTGAGTGAGCCATGACAGTGTGGAATTTTGAGGGACAAGGAAGGTAATGAGGGAAGGAAAGATTGGATTCAAATCAGGACAGTTGAGGCAGAGGATGAAATGTCTTTATTTTGAAGGGCGATATTTTAACAGTTTACTTGTGGTTGCTCAGATGACAGGTGTGGTTTCTCTGATGTTCTTCTGCCATCTAGTGGAGCTTTGGGTTACTGCAGGGATGAGGCACTGAGCATTTTTCTAATAACTGATTGCATATTTATTTATTTATTTTTAATAAACTGAGTACGTCGATTAGCAGAGTTTAAGGAGAATCCATGATATTGACAGACAACCCAGAGGATGGTGGGGGTAGTGTTTTAAGATTAGCGTTCATGTGGTAATGTTTTTCATGAGACATTGACTGATTTAACTGATAGAAAAAGAAAGCAGTATCCAATTTAAATGTATGTAGAAGGTTTGCCGTAGAAGGCAACGCACGTTTGTCCAGTTTGTGTGAGTCTGTTATCGTCGTCGTTTAAAATATCACCTGATAGTTCCCCTGCAGGAAGGGGTTTTTCTGCATCTTTTAACATCATGTTTTTGTGCACTCTAAAACCTAAATGCTTGAAGCACCCTTTGACAGTGACTCATGTTAGCCTGTGGTGACACATATCGACCCACACTGCAAGATAAGAGCAGTCCTCAGGGAACTGTCACTCTCCACAGCGGTCTATTTATGGCAGAACTGATTCCAGAGACAGTAACCACAGCTGTACCTAGTGTGAATAAGAATGTTTCAGAAACCAGCTTCACTTTTGTTTTGGACATTTTTTTTCTGAGTTAGAGGACAGTCAGATATTTGATTCCACATGAATAGTTCTTGTGGTTTCCTGTTCTTAAAATGAGGTCTTGGGCATACACTTACCAACTGCAAACGTTAATTTGAAAGTAATTAAATTTGTTTTTATTACCAAAATTTCATAGAAAATAACATTAAAGTGCATCCACAAAGATTCTGAAAGACAGTGATGCCGATGTACAGTTTGCAAACTTTCTAACCCATTTAGAGGTGTGAGAGATGCAGCAAGATTGATATTATCTTTTGATCGGTATGATAACTTTTCAGACACACATTGCTTTCATCATTGTTGGTACTGAATTTTCCCTTGATCTTATGATGCAGATATGACATCCAAGTACACCCTTTGATGAACAGGGGAATTTATGTTTCTTTCGGTCACATTTGAAACAGTTGAAAGACAAAGATAGAGGGAAAAAAATAGTATTTTGCATGGCTATTTTGCAAACTTTCTTGGTGGATATGATTGTCATGACAGGTCATGCAGTGCTATGGTTACACACAGTTGAAGCAGATCCAGCACACGTGGACGGGCTGTTGTTGAAGCATTCATGAAGTTGAAACTACCTCAAATACAACAAAAATGCTATGAAATGTGACAATCAGTAGGTTAGTAGTGGAGCATGAGTCTCATGTGGTAAAAGGAAAAACAGACAAGAATGGGGAGCGTGGAGAGTAGGGAGCAGGCGTTCTACTTTGTTTCCCCATCAGGTAACAAGTGGGTGCACTTTTACACTTGGAACACTGGGCCCAGGTGTTCCCAATGAAAAACAGCCCGTCCACATGTGCTGGATCTGCACAACAAAACACAAAGACAAGTGTCCAGGCCAGCAGCCAACAAAAAGAACCAAAAAAAAAAACAAAAACAGCGGACTCAGTCAAATAATGCAGCCTTCATTTAGTTTTCATTAAATCTGTGGTGTTTGGAGGGATAAGACATGAATATATATCAGAGGAGAAGATTTCCCAAAGATAGTTCGATTTTTTTTTTTTCCTATATCATTTAATCTTACGTTGAATTTAACAAATACTTCCACTTGGCTGGTGATACTAGCCTGTCGTATCCAATCAGCCTCCATATCATTAAGCCTAAAATTATTCATAGCCCTGCCAAAATTTGATTCATGGTGATTTATTTATTTTTTATCGTTTTAGTGTGATCCGTATGTGAAATAATATAAACAGGTGATCAAAGACAGCACAACATTATGTTAAAGGTATTAATGTTTAATTTTTTTGTTGTCAAAAGGAAAGAAAGTCCTTGTGTAAAACTCTGCATATCCCAACTTTTTGTTGTCAGCTCTTGAAAAAATGCTAGTTCCTAGTTATGTCAGTACATAGCCATGGAGACAGGGTTTCACATTGTAGCTGCTCACAAGACAGGGAGCAGCTATGAAGCCACTTCCAAGTGTTGTCAAGTGCCACTGGCCACAGTGCAAATCATAAGCAAAAGGTACATGGAGTCACAGACTGTGACAAATATCCCAGTGTGTGGTAGAAACCGAGTGAGTGACAAAGAAGAATCTGAGGATCACCACCAAGACCATTAAGCTTGATTAAGCTGAACCATTCTGGTACCAATATTTTAAGGCAGACAGTTCCAGCAAACACAAAACAAAGCTGAAAACTGGTGCAGCTTTTCTTTTGTGAAAGAAAGGAGAAGCATTTTAACCGAAGAACACCATCTCCTTAGTCAAGCGTGGTTGTAGGAGTGTCGTGCTGTGGCTTTGTTTTTAATCGTTGGGTCAGGTAACCTTGTCAAGGTAAACACCATCATGCCAAAAGAGGATTGCATTAAGATTCTGGAGAGAAATATCAAACAGTCTGTAGAAAAAAACTAGGCCTTTGACAGCATCAGCCATTTCAATAAGATATTAATCTGAAATATACAGCCAAAATTATTTAAAAAATGGTTAATAGAAAACAATGTCAACATTTTGGAGTGAACCAGCCAGATTACAAGTAGCTTGTCAAGAACCTGTGGAAGGAATTGAAGAGCAGAGTGATGCAAGGAGTTTGATTGCTGTGGTGGCAAATAAAGCTGTTGCCATTGATCACTTAACATTGAATATTTTTTTGCCCACTTTGTCCTCTCCTTTACCCCTACACAGAGGCAACAGTGCTGAGTTATGACGGAAGCATGTACCTGAAAATCATCATGCCGGTCACCATGCATACAGAGGCTGAGGACGTGGCTCTGCGCTTCATGTCTCAGCGAGCATACGGTCTGCTCATGGCCACCACGTCCAAGGAGTCAGCGGACACCCTGCGACTAGAGCTGGACGGAGGCCGCGTCAAGCTCACTGTCAACCTCGGTAGGCCGCTGTGATTTATCGTGGATGTCCCTGCTAACCTTTCCCTTGCCCCCTCCCCTGTCTCTCATCTTCACTCTGTATTTTAGCCTTGTATGCCTTTGAACTTAGGATTATGGTTTGACATTTTGAGCTTCACACCATGATTTTTCTTCCCTTGTCAGATAGTTGGGTGGGGAAAAGTTTCTAAATTTGTCCCTCAGCTTGAACAAATTTGTTTAATTTAACAGATACATTTGGCACTACGGCAGCTTTTGGCCGTCATTCTCTTATTGGTTTAAATGAGGATCATCAATAATGCAGAAACTCTGTTCATTTGAGAGAACTGATGTACAAGTACAGAAACTTCTGTTCCACAAAGTGCTTGCTGGAGGAAAATAAGGCAGATTTGTAATGTAAAGGTATCCTCAGATCATAATAATCTCACCCTCTGTGGGGAGCCACCCTGCAGTAATTTCTTTTCCATATTCTTTGATCCCTGCAACCCCCCCAAACCCCTCTGCATTCATCCCCTTCTTTTGGTATTCTGTGAAGTCCCATAGCTCCTCATTCTGTTTAAAAGCTCCATCTCTAACAGTATCCCTGGCCCGACCCCTAGCCTTAACCCGTTAACCTGTCTCTAGAAACTTTAAGGTGGCCTTGCTCCTGTCTCGCTCTTCCTCATGGTTCTTGCTCTCTTTTTTTTTGTTTGTTTTTCTTTTCTGTGGAAATAACTGTAGGGGTTGGTTGTCTCCACTTCTGCTCAGGAATCTTCATTGTAGGCAAATGGTTAATGTGTTGAAAGAAGAGGAAGATGTAAAGTGGTCTGAAAGGCAATGTTAGTTAGGAGAAGGTCAGTGAAATTAAACAGAGAGGACAGTTTGTAAGATGGATTGTTCCATAGAAAGGACAAATTCATACCCTCTAATAACTGGCTGCAGGAATGTAGACCCATTGACTTATTAAAATTTCATTGCAAAGAATGTTAGTGCTCTGGGGAAGATGGGTATGACCTTCCAGCTCTGGAGATTTTAAGTCTGTCCTGACCTTTTGAAGGACCAGACTTTCAGCAATGAACCGGGAGGAGCATGACAGAGGTGCACCCTGGAATGTGAGATTTTAAGCCACCATAGAGACAGGAAGGAGGGCAGTGGGATAAACGAAGGTGGCCGTTCTTCTATCTCTTCTCTCGCGCTGTCTCTCCTCTTTCTCCTTCAGCCTCTCCTTTTTTCTGTCACTCATAAACACTCCACCTGGCCAAGACTCAGAAGATGGAACTTTTCATCCCTTCAATGGCCTGTATGTCTGCGGCCCTCGGATCAAACAGTCAGAGAGACCGGCTCACAGCTGTAGCGTCAGAAGTTATTTGTACCTGCTGTACACAGGGCCACACTTCTACCTGCTATCAATTAGCCACACTTGAGGCTAATTCATAACTGCATAGGCTTTTTTTTTTTTTTTTTAACTGGTGCCTAAATGACACCAGTTAAAAAATATACACAGTATCTCACACCATAGCTTTGCTGAGGGTTTTCATAGGTCTTTTGCAAGAAAATTAATTAACAAGTAAAGGCATCCCACAATCAAAAGGGAATCCTTTTGATCTGTTAAGGCTCTAATCCTTGTTAAGATAATTAAAATTCTGGTAATTTATCACTAGGAATAGCTGTAATTTGAAACATTTAAGCCTAATGATATTTATTAGTAATAGATGATGAGGATAACCTGTTCAATGTGCAATATGTAGGCAGTAGCTAAGTATTCCCAGCTAACGCTGTCCAATAGCAACTGGCATGTTATTGTTTGGCTTCATCAGCCATTGCAATTATTAATTGCCAGTAGAGAAATTCTCCTCCTGTGGATTGACTGAAAAATGACTTGCTTCAGGCTTTTGCCCTGAATTTCCTTCATTTCAAAATAAAATCACAGCTTTCTAGCACATGTGGCTCACTAATGCACTTTCATGGAATTACACTTGTATTATATCCACATCTCTACAGAGTGATGCTGGTCCCTGGCTGTTTGTGTCCACTATTCTGTAGCGGTTGACAGCTCGAGACCACAACCCAGCCACACTGCTACATGCACATGGAGTTTGCAGCAGACTAGTAATGAAATATTCTGAGGATATGGGATTCTGTAGGGAATAATCATTTGGTACTTTAATGAAATGTGTGTAAGAGGTCTCTATTTGCTAACTTCATTCAGAGGTGGAGTTAAAAGGTCAGGTTTTGCCAAAGACCCAAATTTAGTTTCTTTCTCTACCCAGAATGGGTGTTTACCGACACCCTGCTTTAACCTAAATCTTCAAGTTGAAGGACTAAGCCTTTTAACACTTCAGTATACTGGGTGCATGGCTTTTAAAATAATACCAGTGTTTTTGTCGCACCCGTTTAGAAAATCGTACACAGTAGAGTGTCTTATCTATTGCAGTTTGTGTGCACAAAGCATAAGGTGGCTGGGATGTGCAGATCACCCTTTCTTGTCATTTACACTGTTGGGTTTCTGATACCTGAAGTGCTGCAGAAGGCAAGTACATCTCAAACTGTCAGGAAAGGGAGCTAAAGTTAAAGGTGCGAGATGCTGCATCTGCTGCAGCGATGGCATAACAGATGCAGAAAAAATGATGTTTGTACACAACGTGAGCATAATGGCTTAATATAGTTAAATTTAAATCCTTGTTTTGCAGATCATCTAATTATTGCCAACACATTTTGTTCACTTGAAATTATTTGGCTCTATCTAAATTGTTTACGGAAGTAATGGTTATTGCACGGTTTACACAGCACAGTTTACAAAGGAAAAGAAAGGAGAAAGACATAAAATATTGAAAAAAAAGATGTGTACATAAAGGTTTTGCCAGATGGTATGATAAAACTTTGATGCTCAGTGTTTCAAAACTGCATTCGACCCAGATAGAACCTTATAATTCCAAGTACACGATTTGCATTTTGATGTTGTCTCTGTAATTACATGTAAAGTTGTTTTGATGTATATTTCCACCAAAAATAGACCAATTTGCATAGCGTTTTTCCATAAATCTAAAGAAAGTAGTATCACCAGTATGTTCATACTGTCCTTCTCTATAGACCTGACAAAGTCTTGCCTTCTGCTGTGCTTTGGGGGGTATTGGGTGGAACACGGGATGGTAATACTGATGGAAGAAAAGGGTGATCCTGACTCAGAGACTGTCCCCGGATGGTGGCCCCAGAGCAATGCTTGGTTGTCTGCAGAATGTACCTTGAAGGATGTAAAAATGTCTTTTTTCTCTTTTATCCTTTCTCTTCTTCCTTTTCTTTCTGTCTCTTTCTTTCTCCTTTTCTTTTTATTTGATCTCACCATTTCGCTCTCTCTCCCGCCAGATTGTATCAGGATAGACTGTAGCCTCAGTAAGTGGTTCTATCCATTTTTCTGACTAAATTGTATCTGTCTATCTCATCCTGATTCTGTGCAGTGGCGATTTCTGCTCTCTCCTGTCCTCATGATTACTGACACCTCTCTCATTACCCATGTCTCTGCTCTTCAATATTTCCTTGCCTTTGATTAAGCACCATTTATTTTATTCGTTACACACCTTTTTCCTCTCACCTCCTTTCATTCTTGTGTTTCTTACAGCCTCATTTTAAGTTTGACCTCAGCTCTTTTTGAAATACCTGATCTAAGTTGTATTTTTCTTCTCTCCATAAGTCATTTTAATTTCCCCTCCCTTTCAGTTACGGATTTAATTATTGTTTCCCTTGCATAATTATCAGAAATTTTCATCCCACTTCCCTCCTCATTCGCCTACCACAGTCAACTATGAAATTATTTCATTACATTTCCCCTGCTTATTACCCATTCTAGTCATTTTCCTGTCAACCTTCTCTAAAAATGCATTCAGAAAAGGGCAACTTGACACTCCCCTGCTGGATGTTCCTATTTTCTATTATGCGACGTTGAGTCTCGGCTCCACATGGCTGCACACACAGGTGTTGCTTGTTTTCTATGTGGGACAAACTGTAGTTCTGGCCCCCAGAAAGCTAATTGCTTATCCACTGAGAGACGGCACCACCTGGTGTGTGCTTGTTTTCGAAGCAAGCTAATGTTTTTCTGCCTCACGCTGACAGAATGATAGCAAACTGTTATTTCTATCATGGCCACTGACAATGGCCATGAACAACTAGCCCACAGGTAAGTGCTGCCAGCCACGGTGACAAAAATAGAGAAAACCTCATGTTTGCCACAATGCTTGTGTGTATGCGAGTGTGCTACTCAATTTTGATGAGGTCTTTGTGTGGGGAGAAAGGTGAAGGGCTTGATTTGGATTAGCATCTAAGAGCGAGGAGCAGGCAACAGCTAGTAATGCATGGAACTGAGTATATATTGATTCACTATTAGTATTTATATGGAGTCGTGTTAAGTTGTGGTGACATCGTCAGTAGCAGGTGCCATTGTAGAGTCATGTGTTTGCTTGCTCAGCCTCACTTGTTCAAGTCTTTTCCCTCTTAATGTATGTGTGCCACATCTCTGTACATCTGTGGAATGCACATGGATTCTGTTTATGTCAGACTTTAAGGAGCACCATCCATAACCTGCAAAAGCCTCCACCAGGTGTGGAAGTGGCCTCAGTGTGTGACAAATTACTTCCTTTATCATGTGCAGTGCCACGGGCATGGCAGACATTCAGAAAATGCTCAGAAGATGTCAATACCCTAAAATCACCACTAGATGTCAGAGAAGCATTAGGAATACCTTGTGATTTCCCTGCAGTAGGGAGGAGTTGGAGAATGAAGCTTATTTTTGTACCACCATAGGACTCTAAACCATTTCTCCGTTTGCCTCTGTTGGCTGACTCCATTATTGTAAATTAACTTAAATGATGGCTGAGGTCATCTCAGATTTGCGTGTTTTAGAAGGTGAAATGTTTTGAAATCAGAGAATATCATGCAGCTTTTTTTTTTTGTTTTGTTTTGTTTGTTTTAAAGATTCTGCATGCTTCATAGAACCACCACTGTACTGGAAAGACCACTTTAGTCAAATATTTGATCTGGTTATTCACCAACTGGGAACTCCGGGTTTCAGTGGATTTGCAAAGAATATTTTATTGAACCGCTGTAGTTATTCGGTTGACTGAGCACCCTTGTACAGTAATACAGTAATGTCCTGCTTCATGGCCACTCAGTCACGCACAACATTGAATAAGAGATTGCAAAACATGGGTGTGTGCATGTAACACAGAGGAGGAAGGGGTGTGTATGTGAGAGAGAAAGAGACTAGGGAAAAAAAGACAGAGAGGGAACAAACCAGGCAGAACTACAGACAACATTTAATTCAGTGGTATGGCATGTCCCAGTCGATATCCCCTCTAGAGCCCTACAGTTACTAAAGTCACAGATTTGTGTAAGAAAATCAGGATACCAAAGTCTCTCTGGTTACTGGTCCATAAACAAAACAGCAAAACAGCGCCTTTGCAGGGGCAGCCACGTGACGAATGTGTCACATTAATGCAGATGTTGAGATACATGAACAAGTATTGAGAAGAAAGCACAAAAAAGTCATGTATTGATTTGCTGCTATTACTGTTTAAACTGCAGTATGCCAACTGCTGAACCACCTGACCTTTTTTTTCTTTTTTTTTACTTTTATCCCTTGACTTTGGAGTGCTTTGTGAGGCTTAGGAAGTGAAGGATCAGCCTTGTGTTTTATTGTAGTATATCGTGACCCAGCTCTCCCCAACTTAATGCATCTGATATGATACAGAGCAGAGCTGTAGCCCTCAGCTCCAGTCAGGTCAGGGTGTCAGGCTGATGATATCTGTTCGGAGGGTGGCCTTTCAACCGCCAGCAGCACCTTCTCTTAGTGCAAGATGAGATGAGATTTGGCATGACATATGGCCAGCATGTGGGGTGCGAGCACTCCGTCTGCTAATGTCATACCCTTTGGCCTCTCCACCTGCAAGCACTGACTCAAGAACACACTGAAACACACTGTGCGCGTAGACGAGATGAGAAGTAACATTACAGTTCAGTGTGAAAGCATCTCTAAAAAACAAACCTTAAAAGTAAAACGGAGAAAAAACAGGCAGTCTCCAACATTTTAATCAAGACTGACAGCACCTGTGAAGCTTGACAGTGCTATCACAAGCACTGCTTTCTGATGTGCTGCATGTATACAAAGATTGACAGTAAGGGAGTAATGATAGCTTATGTAAATACGTTCCATAAACTGAGTACCCTGGCTACTTACATGCATGTGCACACTGACAGGAGTTCAGGGTTGTTTAAACTGGTTATTGAGAAGATTCATGTGGTAGAATAGCAAAGACAGCAGAGGGTGACAGAACAGGGGATATAAAAAAGCGCAGGGGGAGTGATAATTTAATTAACACAGCAAATTACAAGCTACATGGAGTGGAGGTAGTATTTCTATCGCTACCACTCTACTTCCCTCAATCTTTCATACTCTTTATTGTCTACACTCCTGACAGTTGATAGTATGGGGGGGTTAATTTCTCTGAAAACAGTAAGCCAGCTCTTTAATTAGAGCTATAAAATGGGGCCAGAATCAATAGATTGTGACTGTACATACTAAAATATCTCAATATATCTTTCCAGTAGCCCACTTCTTATTCTTTAATTAACTACTTTTCCAAATAAGTAAGTTTTAGCCACTTTAACAAAGACTTTTAGTAAACAATATCATAGTCCAATAAGAATAGCACACGGATGACTAATAGTACGAGGACATGAGTACACTGCTGTCCAATGCTGTCAATGTGCACGCCCACAAACCTCAATGCACATGTACGCACACATGCATCCACAGATGGATGCACCACTTGACACATATTGTGGGCAGCTAAGTGAATCTGCGATTTTTACCCACTCTTAGACACATTTTTGTCACTGAAGCTGCCACCTTCCTCAGTCTTAGCTGCTTCTGCCCAGGTTGTCAGGTGTCACACTCTTCCCCCATGTGTTTTACACAGTCACAACTACTGAAATATGTAGCACAGTTCATGTAGCCCTGTAACCATTTTCACTACAGATACATGTGTTCAGAGACAGCAGGTGTCATAGCCATTTTACATTTGAATGGATGGCTTGTTCAGTCTAATTTGTATTGAATCGGGGTCTTATCTGCCTCCCCTGCTCTTTCTCACTCGTCTCCATGCAGATGGCTTGCTCTTATTTTCTCAGTGAATCACAAATATTGAATTTGACTGAGTTTCCAATCACTCACTTAAATCATGAGTCATCATCTCCTATCTGAGCCAAGTAGATGTCAAAGATAGATTTGCGGTAGGCATTAGAAATTGCCCTCTGCATGCACAGTGTTCTACAGATTTTAAAATTGGATCATGTATTACATTTAGACTATAAAGTATAAAATTTATTTTGGAAATGCTTGGATTGCAATTTGATTTTTTTAAAGGCAATTTAATGCTTCAATGGAGGATAGCTTTTGTTATTTAATGTTCATTTTATCCTCCAAAACTCCAGGCCAAATGTGATGCAATGAGCCAATAAGAAAAGTCTATTATTAACATAATGCCTTAGATCAGTGCACTCTCAAAGATAGTACTTTATTTAATAAATAGATAATCCTAAAATGCATGGTCTAGTTCAAAGATGGACAACACAAATTCACTGTACATTTTATAGTAGTTACCAAACTAAAATATAATTAACAGTCATCTGTATGATAGCAATGCACCGCCATGGACAAGCAAAAACCATGCAGTATCTAAACATTATGCAGCCTTCTTAGCAGTTGGAATAGTGCGCCGTCACACGCAAATCATCTGTTAAAGACTGAAAAAAACACTCATGAATATCTCCCTGCAACTTCATTTAATTTTAAGACGTTTTATCACATTTTGCTCTTTGCATGTAGTAATGGAAACAAACCAAATTCCTCTTAAAATGTTAAACAGACATGACCTCAAAAAAAAAAAAAGTTCTTTGAAGCCTATATACTGTAAACTTCAAAGGAATATGTGATCAGAACATTTTCCTAGCTAGAGCTGGAATGCAATGCGGCAGTGTGCTTGTGTGGAAACGTGCCAGTGTGTTGAATTGTGTATGTACACATCAGTCTGCTATTTTACATTAGGATACGTTGGGACCTCGAGATCTGCCTTATGTGTGGTGTCAGAGTGATAGTTGAGGTCAATTTCTGCCAAAATGTTACATAGCTGAGGACTGGACACAATATAATTAGGAGTGAACGATAAGGGCTTAGTTAAGAAAGATTTGTAAGACCTGGATTCAGAAAATGTTCTACTTCCAGTTCCAATGTCCTGCTTCACTTAATTGCACAAATGAGTAGAAGAACTGTTCCTGCAAAGAAGTCCAAAAACTAAAGAGCAATATTCTAGCTAGAGCACAAGTTGGGAAGGCGATGAACC